AAAAAAAAAAGAATTTCACAGGCTTTCCTGCCCGCAGTCCTCAGAGCTCAGCCTCCTGAGTAGCTAGGATGACGGGCGGGAGCCACCAGCGTCTAGCTTTCCTTTTTTCTGGGTTGCTGTGTGGAGCCCCGAGTGTCACCGCGTTGGGCACGCCCTCCCCTGCTGTGCCCCCACTCCCGCCCGAGGCTGGGCTTCCCGGCCGCCCCCTGACGTCTCGGCTCCTGTCCCCAGACGAAGGCCTTCATCCACCACGAGCTGCTGGCCTACCTGTACTCCTCGGCTGACCAGGGCAGCCTCATGGAGGAGTCGGCCGACCAGGCTCAGCGGCGGGACGACATGCTGCGCATGTACCACGCGCTCAAGGAGGCGCTGAGCATCATCGGGGACATCAGCACCAGCACCGTGTCCACGCCCGTGCCCCCGCCCGTGGACGACACCTGGCTCCAGAGCGCTGCCAGCCACAGGTCCCCGGGGCTCCGCGGGGGGGGGGGGACCCCAGGGGCCGCCCAGACCCTCAGGCTCCGCCACAGGGCTCAGCCTCTGGAGGGGGGGGCCATAGAGACCCTTCTAGAAGGTTCTAGAAGATGAGCAGCATCCTGAGCTGCACAGCCAGCAGCCCCCTGGGCATGGCCGGCCATTGGGAGCGTCAGGCAGAACAGGTGGCAGCCGCGGCCAGCAGGGATGGTATGGGGTATCTCAGAGTGGTGACCCCACTCCGAATGAGGGGTGCTCATTCTTTGTCCAGGGCTGGGGAGCGCAGGTACTCAGGCCCAAGGGGAGCCTTTGAGGCTCAGACAAGCTGGTCGGCATCATGGTGCCCGGGTTAGGAGGTCAGGGCTGGGCTCTGGAAGGATCTGGTTGTGCGCAGATGGATGGGAGGCCCTGGGGCCGCCTGGTGAGGGGCCTTGGGCGGCAGAGGGGGCGCGGGAAGGCGGGCAGGGCGGCATGCACCCCCCTTTCCTAACATCCCTCTCCTCCCTCTTGCAGCCCCACCCCCCAGCGCCGGCCTGTGTCTGGTGGGCACCCCCCAGGTCGGCCCCCTGCAGTGCGGGGCCCCACACCCGGGCCCCCCCTGACGCCCGTGCCCGTGGGGGCCGCAGCCTCCTTCTCCGCACCCCCCATCCCCTCCCGGCCGGGACCCCAGAGTGTGTTTGCCAACAACGACCCCTTCTCGGCTCCGCCGCAGATCCCGTCTCGACCCGTGCGGATCCCCCCAGGCATCCCCCCCGGGGTACCCAGGTAAGCACCCCATCCGCGCCCTGGGTCCCCCCCCCTCCCAGTTTCACCCAGCAAAGTCCTTTAACCCACGTCAGGGTGACCGAGTCGGGGGCGCTGGGTTGCTGGCTTGTCTTCTGAGTTGCGGGGGGCCGCCACTGCTTCCTTCCTCCCTTCCTGGGGACCCCGTGGGCTTAGGCTGCCTTCTCCCCACTTCTGTGAGAATCGGGGGTGCAGCAAGAGGCAGGAGCCCCTTATAGGGCTCACGCAGGAAGGGAGCTGGCAAGAGGGGACACCAGGCGGGGGCCTTGCTTTGGGGTGGCGCTGGGTGCTGGCCTTTGCCCTGCTTCCGGCCTCACTGCGGGTCCCCCCCATCTGTCTCTATTCTCTTTACAGCAGAAGACCCCCGGCCGCGCCCGGCCGCCCCACCATTATCCGGCCAGCCGAGCCCTCCCTGCTCGACTAGGCCGCGTGGGGCGCGTTGTCGGGGTGCAGGAGCCTCAGTGATCTGGGCCGCTCCCCGCCCGCGCTGGGACCAGGCTCTGGGGGGAGGGGTGCAGCCCCTTCTGCCCTAGCTTCCCCCCATTTCTGGCTGGACACCGCACTGAGGAGCCCCAGGCCAGGGGCTTTGCACTTTGGGGACAGGGTGGGGCTTGGGGACCGTCCCCCCGAGCCACCCCAGAGGACGGCTGTCGGCTGGCATGCAGCTCTGCCTGGCCTCTATAGTTTGGGGGGGACCCCAGGTAGAGCAGGGAAGCTGGATCACCAAGGCCCATGAATCCTGCTGGGGTTTGGGGGGTACAGGGCCCCCCCAAACACGGCCGCCCGCCTGGCCCACGCTGTACATATTCCTTCTCGGCCGTGTGAGCCGCAGCCTGGCCGCTCCGGCTGCCAGCGGTGCCTTTGCCAACCCCGAGCCCGGGCCGGCCCCGCCTCAGCCCCCCTCTTCCTCCTGGGGCTCTGTGGGAGGGGGAGGGGGGCCCCGCCCGGGGTGGGCTCGGGCACCCCCTCTTCTGAGCAGAACTTCAGCTCGCTCACTCCTCGCTCGGTTTGACCACTGTAAGTGCCTGCGCTCTGTATCCTATTAATAAACTAAAATAAAGGGAAGTTTCTGGTGGCTGCCGTGTGGGCCTTTTGTGTCGGGGGAGGGGGGGCAAGCTGAACCTCCATATCTCATTTCTGGGGGGCCGGGGCTGAGCTCTGGGGGCTGCTTGCTCCTGGGAGGGGGCAGCTCTGTGCCATCGCAGGATGAGGGACCAGTAGCCTCCCACCCCCTCCAGACCCTCCCACTTCTCCAAGCCCCCCCCCCCCGCCTCCCGGGGCCGGGCCTCACAGCCAGCAGGAGAGACACAGTCCAACGTTGCTTTCTGATTTTTCTTTTTGTGCCAGGCGACCACCTCCATTGGCTCCCGCCCGACCTTTCTTCTGATCTTCGTGGGAGACACCCCCAGCCCGCCCCCTGCCAGCCTGGCTGCCCCTTGGGAGGGGGGCAGGTCTGTCCCCCGTGGCCCCACCCCTAAGCCCCAATCAGCAGGCCCTGTGATTTTCTGACCATAATTTATTGACTCCAGTAGGGGGGGGGCTGGACGCCCCTTTGTTCTTTGAGCCCCCCACCCCCATCAACCCCATGTGGGGCCCCTGCAGGAAGAGGGGGTGGTCCTGCCCTCCTCCTGGTGTTCTGTTACCAGACTCTCCCCCCCATACACACACACCAGGCCAGGCGCAGGGCCCCTTTCCGTGGAATAAAGTGACTCCTGGCGGAAAGAACGTGGTGGCCACTGGTCTTGCCCCAGCCTAGGAGAGCTGGGAGGTGCCTGGAGGTGGGGCCCGGCGCGCATGCGCAGCAGGCCCTGCTCCACGCTGGCCGGGCTTGGGGAGTGGGGGGAGGGCAGGGAGGGAAGACTTTTGGCAATTCATCCACTGGAAGACTTAAGCTAAGGCACATTTTCAAAAAGAGATCCCCCGCCCCCCCCCACGCTGGGCAACCAGGGGCTCACACCGTCATCCTAGCTACTCAGGAGGCTGAGATGTGAGGATCACAGTTCGAGGCTAACCCCAGGCTGGAAAAGTCCATGAGCCTCTTTAGCTCCACTAAACTACCACACTGCCACTCCCATCATGCAGCCCTGGCCCCGGGGGGCGGGGGGACCTGCCCTGTCCAGGAAGGGCCATGCCTACAACCCGCCCCTCCCCCCAAATGCACAGCTCCTCCTGCGGTAAACTAAGGAAGGGACACCTAGTGCCACCTGCCTGTTGCCCCCTTGGCTTTGTCCTTCATCCTCCGGGGCGGGGGGCTACGTGGGCACAGGATGCTTGTCTTGGAAGAAGCGTTTAAGCGTGCACACTTGGAGTACGGCCACCAGCAGCAGCACGGCCATGTTGACGGCTGACCAGAAGTTGACGCGCTCCAGGTTGCCCTCCTGCAGGTTCCGATCCCGCGCCTCGAAGGCCCGCAGCAGAGTCAGCACCTGGATGCTCCGCTCCAGTCTGGTCCTCATGGTCTCGATGGACTCCTGCGGGCAGAGGAAGCGCGGGCTTCTAGAAGAGTGACTCCATGCTAGCCGGAGGAGAGCTTGACAGCAATGAAGCTCCACCTCCATCTGCCTCCTCCTCTGCCATTCACTGGCTGTGTGACCATTCGAGAGCCAATGAACCTCTCTGGGCCTGAGTTTCTTCTCTAAACATCACTGGTCATTGCTATGGAAACTGAATGTATAGTGCAGGGGATGTAACCCAGTGGTAGAGCATATGTTTAGCATGTGTGAGGCTCTTGGATCAAACCCCAGCATCAACCTCCCTCTCCCCCCCCAAAAAAAAAGGCCTAAATAACTGTACAGAACAAATTTCCATTAACATCTAGTTGCTAATTGAGTGCCTTAGCTGTCTTGTGCCTCAGTTTCCCCTTCTGAGCAAAACAGTCATATATAGACTTGTGATATATGAGTCACTTATCATTTGAGACAAACGAGTTATTTAAGCCCTTAAAACAGGATTTATACCTTAGAGATGAGTCACTGAGTTGATACACTATTAAAATTAAGTTGGGCCAGCCGATGGAGGCTCATGCCTGTAATCCTAGTTACTTAGGAGGCTGAGATCTGAGGATCGCGGTTGGAAGCCAGCTTGAGCAGAAAAGACCCCATGAGACTTTTATCTCCAGTGAACCACTCAAAAATGGAAGTGGAGCTGTGGCTCAAAGAGGTAGAGTGCTGGACTGGTGCCAGTGGCTCCCGCCTGTCATCCTAGCTACTCAGGAGGCTGAGATCTGAGGATCGTGGTTCAAAGCTAGCCCAGGCAGGAAAAGTCCATGAGACTCTTATCTCCAATGAACCACCAGAAAACCAGAAGTGGTGCTGAGGCACAAGTGGTAGAGTGCTAGCCTTGAGCTGAAGAGCTGAGGGACAGCGTCCAAGCCAAGTGAAGGGGGGGATGTAAGGGGGGTACTCCAGCCAAAGAGGAAACAAGAATAAGCAATGTCTTGCTGAGTCAAGATCTGGATGGTGTGGCTTGGACATACTCTATGTAGCCTAGCCCAGGCTGGCCGTAAACGCTCAATCCTCCTGCCTCAGCCTCCCAGTGCTGGGATTAAAGGTGTATACCACCATCCGCCCAGCTCCCAGGTGCACCTTGATATCCTCCATCTTGACATCCAACATTTCTTCAGGTTCCACCGCTTCTGCCCAGCCTTCCACCTCCTCGTCGTCTTGTAAACTGTCAAAGATGAGCTCGAAGAACACCAGTTTCTCCGAGATCGTACTGAAGGAGTTGTCAAAGCATAACCTGTAGTCCCCAGCCTCCGTAGGCTCCACCCTGAGTGGACAGACACACAGACTTGCCTGAGGGGCCGGCCAGCCGGTAACCCGAGGCCACTGGGGAGCGTCCGGGCTGTAACCCAACCCAGGTAGGCTGCAGGACCTCACTCACGTGTGCACCCCATCAGCCTTGCGGGCCTCGCTGACCAGCAGCGCTCCCTGAGGGCTCTCCAGCGTGAAGTCCACGTCCAGCCCCGCGCCTCCGATCACCTGGGGGGCAGGCAGGTAAGAGCGGGAGGGCAGGTAGGGTGGGCCCAGGGCGCCGGCCGCACGAGGACCGCACTGACCCTCAAACGCCAAGGGCCTCGCTGAGCCCTGACGCCACCACCTACGACCCCGCTCCCGCCTCCCAGCTGCCAACTGTCCCTCCGGCCGGGCTCAGTGGGTCCTGTCCCTCCGACCACGCCCCTGCGGGAGCTCCGGGACGGACGTGTGCCTGGCACCGCCCCAAGGAGAGGCCAAGACCTTTAACACCACTGCAGACCAAATGCGGAGGGTGGCCACGCCCCCTGGTGTTTGGCCACGCCCACCCAAGAGGTTTCCCGTGCCTGGCGTGTGTCCCGCCCTTCCGGCTGTCTCACATTAGCCCCGCCTTCTTCATTCACGCCCCTAGCGCGAGGCCCCGCCCCGTCCAAGCGCGCGCTAGCGCCGCCCCTACGCTCCCACGTGCCGGCCCCGCCCCTTCCGGCCTCAAAGCACGCCTGGTTCCAGTGCGTGGCCACGCCTCCTAGCCTGGTCCCCCAGCTAGCTCCCCTGGCCAGGGACCCCTCTACCTGGTACTCGGTTTCAAGGCTTGCATTAGCAGGCGCAGACTGGTAGAAACATTGCTTCTTCCCGGCGGGCAACAAGAACGTGAACTCCCCGTCCTGAATCGGCGGAGGTCCCGCCTCTGCCACACCAATTGGCGGCACTAGTAGCCATAGGGTCAAGGCTAGCGCGGCGCCGGCCGCCATCATCCGGGTCACCCTCTGGTCTGCTAACAGGCCGCGGTTCCTTTAAGGTGTTAGTTTTGCCCACCTCTGCTACCGGGCGAAGCTCATTGGCTACCGCTTCTGTCCTTTGTCCAAGTGCCGCGAAGAGAAGCCTGAAGGACCCCCCGAGTTTGCAAGGTGCCCGTGCCAATGCCTGATGTACCCGGACACGCTCTCCCGTTTAGACTCCCCCTCCTCCCCGCGGAGGCCTGCGAGTCTAGTTTGTAGGATTGATGGCTGGTGGGAAACGAAAAGATGAAAAGATGAGTGACGTGATGGAACTTTTCTTCAGGCAAAAGTTAAGACGCCTAAGACAGAGCGTGGCGGGGCGGGGGGGTCCGGGACCTAAGACCCCGCGGTTTTCCCGCCCCATTCTCACTCCCACACACACACACTGCGCATGTCAGCCATTTCGCAGTCCGGCCTGGCGGGGCGGTTTACGCCTGCGCGCTGGGCGTGGCCCCGCTGGGGGCCCGTAGGGCTCGCGTATAAAAGGGCTCAGCAGGGCGCGGAGGCGGGACGGCGGCACTGGGGAGTCGGGGCGTTGCCGTGGTGTCGGGGTTCTCCGGCCTCGTCGCCGGGTCCCCTTCATCCCCTTCGCGCTTTTCATCAGAGTTGGGAGTGATGGAACCCCCCCATCCCCCCCGAGCGAGATGAACTTTGACCCGCAGCTAGGCCTCTGGGCCTTCCTTTGGTCTGTGGTCCCCCCCCCGACCCCGCACCCCGACCCCCCCAGAGCCTCACACTCAGGGCGTGACTGATGGCAAAGGCCCTGGGTTCAGGGGACGGAGAGCTGAGCCTTTCACCTTGAGGCGTCGCAGCCTCAGTTTACCGGTCTGTGCAGTGGGCCCCGGGGTGCTCGCTGGGTGCCCGGCCATCGCGGGGCCTGGGGTGTGCATGTGGCTCCCGGCTTCTGGCCCGCTTTTCTCGGGCCGCCTGTCCCCTGCCCTTTCTTTTTGTCTCTCAGCCTGTTATAGAAGAGTCTGGAAGCTGGCCCCCTTCTGAGAAGCAGACTGATAAACAACGTAGTCATTTGGACAGATGGACTCTACTTGGAGGTTCCCCCGTCTAAACATCCAGAGAAGAAGATGTTTAGACGGAAATCTGTGCTCTTCAAAGTGACCAAGCAGAGGTCACCGGCTCCCTGCCTGCCTTTGAGGAGTTGGCCCGTTTTGGGATTGTTTTTTTCTTTTGTGCCTGTCCTGGGGCTTGAACTCAGGGCCTGGGCGCTGCTGCCTCTAAGCTTTTTTTTTTTTTGCTCAAGGCCAGCACTCTGCCACTTGAGCCACAGCGCCACTTCTGGTTTCCACTTCTGGTTTCCTGGTGGTTACTTGGAGAGAAGAGTCTTACGAACCTTCCTGGACTAGCTGACTTCCAATCATGATCCTCAGATCTCGGCCTCCTGAATAGTTAGGATTACAGGAATGTTTGAGATGACAAAGTTTAAAAATACAGTCTGGGACTGGGAAGGTGGCTTAGTGGTAGAGTGTTTGGCCCAGCATGCATGAAGCCCTGGGTTCGATTCCTCAGTACCACATACACAGAAAAATCCTGAAATGTTAGACAGGCGCCAGTGGCTCACTCCTCTAATCCTAGCTACTCAGGAGGATGAGATCTGAGACTCGAGGTTCAAAGCCAGCCCGGGCAGGAAACTCCATGAGACTCTTTATCTCCAATAAACCACTAGAAAATGGGAAGTGGCACTGTGGCTCAAGTAGTAGAGCGCTAGCCTTGAGCTGAAGAGCTGAGAGACAGCACCCAGGCCCAGAGTTCAAGCCCCACAACTGACAAAAAAATAATAATAGAAAACAAATACCAACCAAATAGACCTTTGGAATCCACATTTATTCAGGAAAGTGAGGACCATGCCACCCTGGGAACCCCAGGGTTCCAAATGGCCATCTCCTTACCGAGATTTGGTTAGTGGGTGTTTTGTTTTGACGCAGGATTTGAATTCCAGACCTTATGCTCTTGACCAGCTTGCTTGCTCCCAGCTGGTGCTCTATCACTTAGGCAACACCTGCAGCCTTACTTTTTGTTGGTTAATTGGCCATAAGAGTTTCAAGGACTTTCCTGCCCTGGCTGGCTTTAAACCATGATCCTCAGATCTCAGCCTCCTCAGTTGCTGGGATTACAGACATGAGCCAGTGCTTCTGGCTTGTGTGGTGTCTTTGTATCAGCATATGCCAGGTAACACATGTTCTTTTCTGTTTCTTTGTATTGTGTCATCCTAGAAGGTGTGTGAAGTAGTATTTTGTTGCGGTTTGATTTGTTTCCCAAATGATTAATGATGTCCAGTATCTTGTGCATCTGTGGGTCTTCTTTAAGGAAATGACTATTGAAGTCTGTTACCCAGTTTAAATTTCTGTTGTTGAGTTGTCAAGAGTTCTCTATAAGGGTGCTGGGAAGGTGGCTCAGTGGTAGAGTGCTTGCCTCACATGCATAGGCCCTGGAAAAAGCTGGAAAAGCAGAAAAAGCTGGAAGTGGCGCTGTGGTTCAAGTGGTAGAGTGCTAACCTTGAGCTGAAGAGCTGAGGGACAGCGCCCATGCCCATGACTGACCAAAAACAAAACAAACACTCTATAAGCTGAATACTGTAATCTTAGCTACTCAAGGGGCTGAGATCTGAGGGTCTTGGTTCAAAGCCAGCCCAGGCAGGAAAGTCTGTGAGACTCTTATCTGCAATAAACCACCAGAAAACCAGAAGTGGTGCACTAGCCTTGAGCTGAAGAGCTCAAGGACAATGCCCAAATCCCAAATTCAAGCCCCATCTTTGACGGGAAAAAAAAAAAAAAAAAAAAAGCTCAGGGACATCACCCAGGCTGTAAGTTCAAGCCCCACAACCACCACCACCAACAACAAAAGAAATCTTTTTTTTTTTTTTTTTGTCGGTCATGGGGCTTGAAGCTCTTCAACTCAAGACAAGTGCTCTACCACTTGAGCCACAGCGCCACCTCCAGTTTTCTGGTGGTTCATTGGTGATAAGAGTCTCATGGACTTTCCTGCCTGGGCTGGCTTTGAACCCTGATCCTCAGATCTCAGCCTCCTGAGTAGCTAGGATGACAGGCAGGAGTCACCAGCACCCCGGCTTAACAAAAGAATTCTTTATATAAGGTGAAGACACAGGTGCTGGTGGCTCACGCCTGTCATCCCAGCTATTCAAGAGGCTGAGATCTGAGGATCACGGTTCAAAGCCAACCTTGGCAGGAAATTCTATGAGCTTCTTCAGTGAACCACTGGAAGTGGTGCTGTGGCTCAAGTGGTAGAGCAGCAGCCTTGAACACAAAAGCACAAGGCACCGAGACCTTGAGCTCAAGCCCCAGGACCAGCAGAAAACATAAACTGGCTTCCTGCATATTAGCCCCGCCCCTCTGCCTTCCTTCCTTCCTGTCCTTCCTCTGGGGGGGGGGTCCTGATGTCTCCTTCCCTGCTCCCCATCCCTTTTCCCAGCTGGAGTCCCTGGTTCACCCCTTGACCCACCCAGCCCCCCCCCAGCTGATGCGAGGCCACACCGGCCAGGAGGCTCCCCCAGCCTCACCCCTACCCCACAGGGAGCCCCAGGAATGGGCAGAAGAAGGGTGCGGGGCCTTCACATGGTCCACGACGTGCCCCACATCCCATCTCTGGGCTCCTAGTGGAAGACAGCTTCTTCACCTGTGCACGGTGAATGCAATAAATTCGAGAATGTTCTTAACCCACCTTGGCCTAATGTAATTCATGTTCATAGACCATAATTCTATGTACGAATCTCCAGGGGAGACAGGCTTGCAGAGGGGCTGGGTGTGGTGGAACATGCCTGTAAGCCCAGCTACTCAGGAGGTGGATGAAGGAGGATCCTGTGGGTTTCATGGCTTGGAAAAGTCAGGACAGCTCCCCTCCCCCCTCTCCTCCCACCTTGCAAAAAAAATTCACCTGATAATCCTAGCTACTATCTAAGGTTGAGATTGAGAGGATCATAGTTTGGGACAAAAAGAACAAAAAAGTGAGCAAGACTCCATATCAACCAGTAAGATGAGGATAGTAGTGTATGTCTGTAATCATAGCTATGAGGGAAGAATGAACAGTGGGATTGCAGTCTGAGGCCAGCCATGAGCACCTACCTGAAAAGTGGGATTGCAGTCTGAGGCCAGCCATGAGCACCTAACCTGAAAAGCAGGACCAAGAGGCATATGGCTCCACTTTGAATACCAACCCCAGTATTAACAAAACAAGTAAGTTGGGCATGGTGGTGTATGCCTATAATACCAGCAATATCGCATCAACAGGAGGATCAAGGGCTGAGTTTGGCCTGGGCAAAAAGCCTGAGACCCTATTTCAACAATGACCTAAAGGCCAGGGACGGTGGCTCAGTGGTAGAGTGCTTGCCTGGCACATAGGAAGCCCTGGGTTCGATTCCTCAGCACCACATACACAGAAAAAGCCAGCAGTGACACTGTGGCTCAGGTGGTAGAGCGCTTGCCTTGAGCTGGAGAGGCTCAGGGACAGCGCCCAGGCCCAGAGTTCAAGCCCCCGCACTCCCATCCCATCCCCAGCCCACGGCTCTGCCCCCAGTGGGCCCTGTGGCTTGGGGAACGGGTGGGGCCCGGGCTGCTGGTTCTGTGCAACTTCCTGACTGCGAGCAAACACTCAGCTCTTCCCGCTTCTCTTTTCCCCCAGTGCGGGCCCCTGAGCACTTGGCACGGAGCCCTGGACCCCACAGCCCAGCCTTCAGAGGACGCCATGCACTGGACACTCCTTTTCCTCGCAGCCGGTGAGTCCCACGGTTCCCCCATCCTTGCCTCTGACACCCCCAACCCCAACAGCTGCTGCCCCTCCCGTGAGGCTTTTAGAGGAGGTCGTATATTCCTGTCCTGACGGCCTGCCATCCTGTCCCCTCTGCCTCTGGCCTCACTGGAACTGCAGGCTTGAATCACGGTACTCGGCTTTAATGGTTGAGATGAAGTTATTGGAGAATGTATTTGGCCCAGGCTGGCCTCCAACTGAAATCCTCTGTGTTTCCCTCTGCCAAGGACTTGGGACTAAAGATGTGAGCTACCCTGCCCCGCCCTTCTTCTTGACTTTTTAAATGGAGAAGAATATTTCATTCGTTCATTCATTTCATTCATTCAATCATTTACGGCTGTGCTGGGGTTGGAGCCCGGGATTTCTCATCTGTTAGGCAAGCCCTCCACTGCGGAGCCCCACACCAGCCTCGTGGACTGTGTCTGAACAATCCATGTCTCCTGAGCCCTCAGCACGCAGAGTGCAGCTCCCACACACACCCCGCTTCCAGGAAGCCCTCGGCCTTTCCACGCCCCAACTCTCCTTGTCTCCTCCAACATGGAGTACGCAAGATGGGTAGAAGAGTTGCTTCTTCATCCAGTGCCCCTTCAACAGTGCTTCCCATGCGTCTCCCCACCCCCCATCACGGCAGTGAGGATTTAGAGCAAAGCCAGGCCCAGAGAGGGTGACCAACTTGCCTGGGGCCACACAGCTGGCTGGGCCTGTGGGCCAACCCCCCCTCCCTTCCACCGCGCAGGCGCCCTGGCCATCCCCGCCCCGTCCATCCTGCTGCTGCCCCCCTACCCGAGCAGCCTGGACGACCCCATCCACATCTCCTGCATGGCACCCCAGCACTTCGTGGGGGCCAACTTCACGCTGTACCAGAGGGAGCGGGTGATCCAGGTGCTGCGGGCCCCCGCCGACCAGCCGGGGGTCACCTTCAACGTGAGCGGGGGCCCCGAAGACCCTGGGGGTGCCTTCCGCTGCCAGTACGGGGTCATGGGGGAGGACGATGAACCCCAGCTGTCCGACCTCAGCCAGCCCGTGCACGTGTCGTTCCCAGGTAAGCGCACCCCGCTCCCAGCCCCCCAACACCCCCGGGGCCCTCGGCCTCCTGTCCCTCTGCCAGGTGAAGCGCGAAGGATTGGCAAGGAAAGGGTGCTATGTCCAGGGTGAACTCGGGCGAGCAGCGCGAGCCCTTAGGAGATGACATTTGGGAACAGATTGGAAAGAAACGGCGCACGGTGGTGCCCCCCTGTCATCCCAGCGGCGGAAGCAGAAGAGCTGAGCTGGACGCCAGCCTAGACTATCCCATAGGGAGACTCTGACTCAAGCCTGTACCCCTAAAATAAATAAGTGTAGAAGAGCAAAGAGTTGGGGACCCGGGCAGTGCCAAGGCCCGGGGGCTGGAGCCCGTCTCCAGTGGTTGAGGAAATGGAGGAGCCCTGATGGCTGGAGGTTGAAGGTCCTCCAGGGCTGGAGTCTATAAACAAGGAGGAAGGTGTGGGTGATGCGGGGCAGGGGGTGAGGAGGCCCAGGCGGGGGCCGGGGAAGGACGTCAGCTGCGCAGCCGGGTGAGCTGGCAGCCATGCTGACCACCTGAAGGTGCCCACACCTCAGGATGACAGAGTCCCTGTGTCCTCCTCCGCTCCCCTGTCAAAGGCTCCTTTCTCTCTCCTTGGTTCTGTGGTCTGGGAGAGGGGTGTGGTCACCCCTCCCACTCCAGATGCATGAATGGACAAGGCCCCGAAGTCGGGAGACCCAGCAGCGCTGGCCCCTGCCGCTCCCCAGGGGCTCTGACCTTGCCTGGGTCAGAGCATCCTCTCTTGGGCTCACAGCGTAGCCACACGCCCATCTCTGAACCAATCATAATGCTGAGGGGGAGGGAATATGCAAATGAACGAGTTACAAAGTTTGCTAAATTCTCTGGTCCAACTTTCTAAAGTCCCCCAGAAACTCTCTTATTGGCTCAGAGCACAGTCACATTCCTATCCTAGAACCAATAGCAATGGTGAAGGGGAGGGAATATGATAATGAGTGCTAAGTTCCCCCAGAGACTCTCTCATTGGCTTATAACAATGCGTCAGACCCATCTCTGAGCCAATCACAATGGCCAAGGGGAGGGAATATGCTAATGAGCCAGTTCTAAGGCTGGCTAATTTTCCCCAGAGATTCATTGGCCCAGAGCACAGGCACATGTCTATCCTAGAGCCAATCACAATGACCAGGGGAGGGGCTATGCTAATGATCACTTTTAAAAGTCGGCTGAGTTCCCTGCTCCAGCTGCACTCAGGGCAGGTGGGGCGGGAGGGGACGGATGACAGGCATCCCACCCTTTGCTATGGCCTACTCACATCCTCTCCCTCACCCCTGTTTTCTTCTAGTGCCCACCTGGATCCTGGCACTCTCCCTGAGTCTTACCGGAGCCCTTCTCCTCCTCGCAGCGCTGGTGGCCATAGCTGTGGCCATCAGGAAAGGTAACGCGCATGCGCATAGCGAGGGTGGCCTGCTTCCGGGCAGGTGCGGCCACGCCTGGCTTTGCACGCCCAGCTCTGTTGAAATGTAGTGCACACGCTAAGGCATACCATTCAGTTCGTGCCCACTATAAGCACAGGGGCAGAGAGTTCTTACGCCAAAGCTGAGCAGAGAAGCCGGTGCCGCAGGCTCCCGCCTGGCATCCCAGCCACTCAGGAGGCTGAGATCTGAGGATCGCAGTTCAAAGCCAGCCCGGGCAGGAAAGTCCATGAGACTCTGAATGCGGGGCATGGTGCTTCATGCCTGAAATCCCACATCCCACTCTACTTACTGGAAAGTAGAGATATGGAACATCCTTGTTCAAGACCAGCCAGGGCAAAAAGGTAATGGGATTCCCATCTCAATGAACCAGCTGGGTATGGTGAGGTACACCTGTAATGCCAGCCTAGCACTCAGGGCATAGAGGCTGAACTACACAGAGAGAGATAGGAGAGACAGAGAGGCGCTGTTAATTGTAGCCCTCATAGTGAATGACAGATTGTCTAGAGGAGGTAGGGCTGGCTGCAGGGTACTTGGGTGGTGCTGGGATTTGAACTCAGGGCCTCAAGCTTCTAGGCAATGGCTATACCATTCAAGCCGTGCCCCCTTACAAAGGGAGCTGTGTGGCTTTCTTGCTTAAGAAACTTGTTGGGGGCTGGGAAGGTGGCTCAGTGGTAGAGCACTTGCCTTGCATGCATGTGGCCATGGGTTCGATTCCTCAGCACCACATTAGCAAAAAGAAAAAGGCTGGAAGTGGCGCTGTGGCTCAAGTGGTAGAGCGCTAGTCTTGAGCTGAAGAGCTGAGGGACAGCGCCCAGGCCCAGAGTTCAGGCCCCATGACCGGACCCCCCCCCCAAAAAAAAACTTGTTGGGTACAACCAGAATGAAAAAAAAAAATCTAACCAATCCTGATCTCTTTCTGATTGCAGTGAAAGTGAAAAACTTGCAGAAGCAAAGGTGAGGGGGATCGCATGCTTTCCCTGCCTGGGGGTCTGCCTACCCCTCGGGAGACGGACGGACAGGTGCCATATATTAAGCACCTACTGTGTGCTGGCTTCTGTCACCCTCCCAGCCGCCTTGGAAGCAGGCCCAACAAACAGACCATTTTACAGATGGCACCCCTGAGGCTCAGTGCTCAGGCACGCTAGCGAGGGCCAGGCAGTGTGGTGGGTGGCCTGGGATGATGAACTTGCTTTGCTCCGGGGGAAGCAAGTGTCTTGTGAGGAAAGTCTACGGGGTTGGAGATTAAAGGCTCATTTTTGGGGGGCGGGGAGGGCATTCTGGTTAGAGGATCAGGATGTTCTAGAACAACTGGGCCACCTTTGCCCTGTCTCCGTCTGCAGGGAGCGAGAATCCTGCTGGGCCCAGGTGAATTTCTCCACCACAGGTGGGTGCTTCCACTCCAGGGTGTGTGTGTGTGTGTGTGTGTGTGTGTGTGTGACTGAAAGTCTCTTTTCCATCAATGCTGGGGCCTTTCACTGGCTTTCCCCCACACACACCTGCACCATCACCTAGAACCGTCTTTCTCCCTCTAGCCTCCATCTGTAGGTCACTTCTTCCAGGAAGTCCTCCCTGATTTCCCCAGCGGGGGAGGGTGTATGTGGGGGAACCTATACACGACCCTGGCACCCTGTCCCTGTGCGTACCCCTCGGTGGAAGCACAATGCAGTGATCCCTTGTGGCTTTGAGCTTCCTTCATTGATCCCCAGCGGGAGCGCCATTGCTGTTCCATTGCTGTCCACAGGGTGTAGTTCTGATGGTGGCCACCAGGGGGCGACCCAATCACGCTGCTCTGCTTTTTCTATTTTCTGCCTGACCCAGGGCTTGAACTCAGGGCCCGGGCACTGTCCCTGCACTTTTTTTTTTTTTTTTACTCAAAGTTGGTGCTCTACCACTCGAACCACAGCTCTGCTTCTGGCTTTTTGGTGGTTCATTGGAGATAAAGAATCCCACAGACTTTCCTGCCCTTGGCTAGCTTTGAACCCTGATCCTCAGATCTCAGCCTCCTGAGTAGCTGGGGTGACAGGCAGGGGAGGGTTCCCCAAGATAGCCCTGTCCCCTGAGCCCGTGACAGCAGTCCCCAACCCCAGCTTTTCTCTGTGTTTCAGACATGTCGTTCGACAACGCTCTCTTCTCCATCTCCACGGTGAGTAGCCTCCACCCCAGGCCCCCATCACGTGCTGCTGATCTGAGCTGGGGCACAGTATGGTGGGTAGGGGCTACCTTCCAGGATGCAAATTGCTTGCTTCAGAGCTCAGGGGAAAGCCCTGGAATCTGGGAAGCAGGAGAAATTTCCTAGAAACCCGGGGTTTGAGACTGAACCCCAGAACTGGCTCTGAAAGTTCCGGATGATTAAGAGAAGCAGCGTCGTCACTGGGCGCTGCTGTGACAGTGGATTGTTTGGACATCCACGGCCCGTGCCTCTCAGAAAGGTGACACAGGACTTGGAGTAGCCTGGAGGCCATTTTGGGAGTTCCCCTTCATCGAGATCTGTGACAGTCTCATGCAGTCTGGTCCTTTCCTGGCCCTGAGATGAATTTTTTTTCTTTTTCTTTTTGTTGGTCGTGGGTCTTGAACTCTGGGCTTGGGTGGTGTCCTTGTGCTCTTCAGCTCAAGGCAAGCGCCACAGTGCCACTTCTGGTTTTCTAGTGGTTTATTGGAGATAAGAGTCTCACAGACTTTCCTGCTCGGGCTGGCTTTGAACCATGATCCTCAGATCTCAGCCTCCTGAGTAGCTAGGAGCTGGCGCCCTGAACTCTATGAATCAGTCAGTGTCTCCCCATGAAGAGGGGTCCCCACTCAGCGGGGCAGGGGGGAGCAGGCCTAGAGTTCACATACCAAGTGACTCACGGATTCCCAGGGGAACACACAACTGCTACACAAGTTTAATTTTACCCAAGTGGTGGACTGGAGCCAGGTGTTCACCTCTGCCCTCTGGTGGCCGCTGTGGGAAGTATACACTGTGTTCGGCTAGAGCCCCCACCTATCCTGGGGACCCATGTCCAGGTGACTGACACCCTCCAGTGCTGGTGGCTGGCAGGCGCCTCACAGCACACCAAGCAGCAGAAGTGGCGGGAGACACCAAACAGCTTCAGATCCCGGTGATGGGAATGGAGGACTGGTTTTTTGAATGGCTGAGCCAGTCAAGCCATGTGGGAATACTGGGAAAGGCATTTTTTAGAAATGCCCATGACCCACCATACCCACTTCCCAAAAGCAGAGCGAGACCCCAGCCTGGAGTTCCTGGGAACAGCCAGGAGGGAGGGAAGAGGTTTTAATGCATGCCTGTTTACACACCCTGAGGCCTGAGCTCTGAGAACAAATCTGAGAACAAATCTGAGAAAGTGCTTGTGTCCAAATCCCCTTTCTTTTTGAAGACTGTGTAATATTCCACTGCATCAAAGGACCAAATTTCATTGACACCGGTGTGGATGGACAGCCAATGGGGCTACCTCCATCTTTTCTACCTTTTGGCTGATATGAATATAGATGTGCAAATATCTGAGTTTTTGCTTTCAATTTTAGTTTAGTTTTTTTCTTCCCATCCTTTCTAGTACTGGGAAATGAAGCCAGGTTCTCAGAAGGCTGAGCAAGCACTCTTTCATTGCATAACACTCTGGTCTCTGCTTTTATTTTCTTTTCCCCTTTCTGTGTGTGTATGTGTGTGTGCTGATACTACGGCTTGAACTCAAGGCCTGGGCACTGTCCCTGAGCTTTTGTGCTCAAGGCTGGTGCTCTACCACATGAACCACAGCTCCACTTCTGGCTTTCTTTTTTGGTGCTTAACTGGAGATGAAAATCTCATGAGCTGCCAGGCGCTGGTGGCTCACGCCTGTAATCCTAGCTACTCAGGAGGCTGAGATCTGAGGATCGCGGTTCAAAGCTAGCCCGGGCAGGAGAGACCGTGAGACTCCTATCTCCAATAAACCACCAGAAAACTGGAAGTGGCGCTGTAGCTCAAGTGGTAGAGCGTTCGCCTTGAGCTGAAGAGCTGAGGGACAGCGCCCAGGCCCAGAGTTCAAGCCCCACGACCGACAAAAAAAAAAACAAAAACAAAAAAAAAGAAAATCTCATGAGGTTTTCTTCCCCGGGCTGGCTTGGAACTGCGATCCTCAGATCCCAGCCTTCCTGAGTCGCTAGGATGACAGGCGTGAGCCACCAGTGGCTGGCTTTTGAGTTTCTTTTTGAATGTTTACAAATCCACTTCCAGCTTTTACTTTCTGACTTGGAAGATTTGCTAGGCAACTTTCCACTACTTTGGGGGTAGGGTTACCTCGTTTTATAAAGGGGAGTTGTTGAGTCTGGATCTAGGCTCTATGCAATGGGGTCACCCAATGAAAGAGGGGGGCCACTCTGAGTGAACCCCAGAAATTCTAGCATTTGGCCTGAAGGAGAGACAGCCAGTGACATACCCATCATTTCTATATTGCTTCAAACCTCATAATGGCTCTAGCAGGGTCGCCTAGGGTTTGGTGGAACCCTGGGGACTCCTGGGGCCCCTGGGATGTCTGAGGTTCAAGTGACAGATGCCCAGGGGTAATAGTAGCAGTTTTCAATTTCCTGAAGGGGAAACGGAGCCAGGTGCTCAGTTTGGCTCCCACCTGTCATCCTAGCTACTCAGGAAGCTGAGATCTGAGGATCATGGTTCAAAGCCAGCCAGGACAGGAAAGTCCATGAGACTCTCGTATCTCCAACAAACTACCAAAAAAGCTGGAGGTGGAGCTGTGGCTCAAGTGGTGGAGTGCCAGCCTTGAGCCCAAAAGAACAAGGACAGGGTCCGGCATGCAAGCCCCCATACTGACAAAAAGGGAAACAGACATTCAACCAATCTCAAACTGCTCAGAAGAGATGTTCCTGGAATTTAAAACCCGGTCTTCTGTTTCCCCCAGCTCAGCAGGCAGGGAGGGGGGAGGAGAAACCTCACACTCAGGATGGAGTGGTGCGATGACAGTCCAGCAGACTGGAAATGTGGGGAGACCCTAGCTTCTGATACCCCAAGTCACCCGATTCTTTCTTTTCTTCCATGGATGAAGAAAATGACCTCAGAAGATCCAGGAGCCATCTTGGATGCTCACCCTGACAACTCTGGACCCCGAAAGAGACCTACCTCTACATCCTCCTCACCAGAGCCCCCCGAATTCAGCACTTTCCGGGTGTGCCCGTGAGAATGGGGGGGCAGCTCTTTTCTTCCAGTTGCCCAGGCCAGCCTTCTGGAGCAGGACTTGGGGGGACAAGGGGCCTGCAGCTGCTGCTTACTCAGGAAATTGAACGGGAGCTATGAAAGGAGTCCCCTAGCCTCAGGACCTTCCCAAAGATGGCAGAGAGGAAGCCCCCTAGGCTCGGAGGGTTGGAGGGTGGCAGAAAGCAAGGCCCCCTGGAATCACATCATGATGCTTCTGCCTCTCCAGCCCTCAGTTTCTCCATTCCTACTTGCAGGTGGTCAGGTGATGTGACTCTTCAGGACTGGGTTTTGTGGGCGTTCTGTGTGTCCACCCCGCCAGCATCTCTAAGTTATTAATTACATCACGTGACACAGTGTCCCTCAAGGCCTCTGTGGGGTGTGATTTTCAAGCTCTGGCCGTCTGGGGTCCAGCTGACAGACCTCGTCCCCTCATAGGAGGTGCCCATCCCTGGGGACGGGGCTGGGGGGCGCAGGAAGCCTTTGAGGGTCCAGAGAAGGGAGGCGATGCTACTCAGGGGGTCTCTCTGCATGGTGAGGGACCGAAGTTAGAATGACGAGGGCGTGGGGATGGAGGAAAATGTTGGGGGTCACATGAGGGGGTTCAGGTAAAGGGAAGAGCTATAGAAAATGGGAACTGGGTATGAACCCCATGCGGTGGGCTGGGAAATAGCTGAGGGGGTCGTAGCAATTGTTGGAATCAGCCCCATGGGAAGCAGAGAGGGGAGATTGGGGGGAAACCCCAGATAGCGTTGGAAGAATGACCCGGGACAAGTAGAACGCAAAGGCACACGCCCAAGGGGCGGGGCCGAGGCGGGGCGTGTCCCCGGCCAATGGCCACGCCCCCGTAGGATCAGCCTCCCAATCCCCTCCCTCAAAGCCTGTACCAATACGAAGGCAGCAGGGCTGGCGTGGGGGCGGGGCCTTACGGCCATTGGCCACGCCCCCAGCAGGCTGCTTCACAAAGCCGGGCGGGGCCAAGGGGCGGAGCCCACCCTCGGGCGGGTCCGGGGAGTGGGGTTGCCCACAGCCTTGGATACGTCTCAGGCAGGGAAGCCGCTTGACAAAGCGCGGCCCCCTCTGCGCTGGGCGGAGCTTAGGGAGGGGTGGATGGCGTCCGCGAGGCGCACGCTAGGCCTCAGCCCTTCCGGAACCCCCGCTCTGTTTTCTAAAGCGTGGCCATTCGCGCGACGCCGGCATGGGGGCGGAGTCCAGACTTGGAGGGTGTGTCCTTTAACCAATTCCCGCCCCGTGACGCAGGCGGCGCCTAGCCCACTCGGAGCAACCTCCGGGTCTTACCCAGCGCGGGCGTTCGCGCTCGGCGTCCGGATGGGGGCGGGGCCCAGGACCCCCCCCTAGGAGGCGTGGCGCGCGGCCTTAGCAACGCCCCCTGACGCACGCTCCACCCCCGACGTCCCAGCGCCGCGGAGCCACCTCACAAAGCGGCGACCTTTCGCGCCGGCCCCGCCCCCTGGGCGCCCTCTCTCTCTCCCGGCGCCCACGTCCGCCAGCAGGGGCCGCTGCGCCACCGGGC